GGTCAGAATGGCTGAGAGATGCTTCGAAGCTGGAACCTGACATGATAATGATTGATGCCTATGATGTCTGCAAGCAAGCTTATTCTGTACGAGCAGATATTATTGCAAAGATTGTTGGTCATCTTGGACTTGAGAAAATGTTTGAAGCATCAAATTCCAAAACCTCTTAATGGTTCATTAGACAATATGGTCCCAGGGTATTTTACTCTTTTCATTCAACCTTTTCTTTCATTGGTGCGTTTGGCTGTTTTCCTCTCTTATGTTTGTAACATTTTCTATTATTGGTTGGATTTCAGGTGAACCTTTTTGTGGATCAGTCCCAGGTGATGGATCTGGAGTGCCTTCAGGGTTTAAACCTTGGTAAAAATCACACACCTGTTCTTGATTCGTCCCATTTTCTGTTCTAAACTGGCGCCAAGTGCATATAATCCATAATGGAAATGGTTATGCTTTGTCACAAGGATAATTGAAAAATAGGACTATTTTTGGACCTTGATTCAACAACAATATCTTCATATATGCGAAAAAATTGGATGAAGCTTATTCTAATTGCCTAATATGGTAGATTTTGGTGCTGAATGATTTGTGCTTGAAAAGCTGTTTTTGGTTAGTGTATGGTTGGTCGTCATTAATACGTCCATGTTGTTATAAAATTCGTGGTTAGCAAGGATACAATCACATATGAGCATTGTTCTTGTTGATTTCAGTTTGATCGTGTAGTTTGAGTGTGTTGGAGATGAAACTCGATAAGCTGCTATATATTGGATATCTTACTTGTTTCATTTAATTTGTATTATAGTTTGCTGCGTACATTGATGCTGCCAGAATATATGCTTAATTTTGGAAGGAGACAGATCTTTCTTTTTCTAATGAGCTGCGTATTTTTCATATGTAGAATTAGCGTAAGATTACAATTTTCTTATAAGAAGTCAGAATGCATCTAACTGGTCCTTTTTGAGACTTTTTGAACATTATGAAGTGAATTCTTTTCTGATGGTTCTGGTCTTCTCAATCGTGTGTCCTAATATTACACATGTTCAATACATTTTTTGTTAAGGTTAATATATATATATATATATATATTATATTGTTTTTTTGTTTAATTGGAAGTTTAGTATCTTGATTGCACTAAAGTATTTGATCCTGTGAAATACTGTAACAATATGTATTATTATTTTTTTTGGTCGATGTAATCCAATACTAATTAGAATATCCATAAGGACTGTATGAATATCGGTGAAAATAAACCACATTAGATAAAATCGGACCAAACTATGTTCGGTTTCTATTTGAGGTCCAATTGTTGTTTGGTTGGAGAGAAAATTGAGATGGGAAAGGAGAGGTTTTGAGAGGAAAATAGAGATTGAATGAAGATATTGGATTGAGGATGAGAAATTTATGTTGGGTAAAGACAGGTTTCTTGTTCATGTGATTTTTTAGATGCAAAAAAAAAATACTAGAGAAGGTTTTTTTTTTTTTAAATGAAAAAAAAAAAAAAATAGATCCGTAAAATCGAACCAACCATTCCTTCACAGTTCCCTTGGTCTCGCAGTTCGGTCCGGTTCCAATTTCAATAGAACAGTATCCTAGTTGTCACAACCGAGTTTGAAAATGCTAGTTTGCAACTTTGTGTGTGTGAAATTCAAATTTTCATTCAGCAACCAGCAGCTGTTAGCATGCGACACAAACGGTTCTGAAGCAAGCAACCAAGCAAAAAACACCATACAACAAATGAAATAAAACTACGTAAGTTTTTTTATTTTTGCCTTGCTAATGGTCTTTTAGTCTCACCCATTTAGAAATTTTTACGTGCACAATGTGCAATTTACACTTTGTCCATCCACTTGGGGGGAATTCATAGCTGCCCAGTCAACTTTGGATTGGGAAGCCCTAGTTTGGTATTTGGATGGATGGAGTGAAACAAAATATGCTCATCACAAATACGAATGCCACCTGATTAATCTAAAACAAAAGAACTACATAGATAACCGACGATCGTAATAACTGCAGTGGAATGGAAACTCCTAGGTTCGTTTATCTGACCACCACCGCCAATGCCACCTGATTAATCTTGCCGCCAATAATAGCAACTCATCATTGATTCATTGTTATCTCTAACTCCACCAGAGTGAACACCAACTGTTTGATTTTGTAATGACATACGGTAATATCTTATTTGTAATGGCCTGTGCCCTTATTCCATTTTTTGAAATCAGACCAAACCATAATGCTCATGAAATCAAACGAAACCAAACTGCAAAAAATCGGTTTGGTTTGGTTCTGCTCGGTTTGTCGGTTTCAATTAATTTCTTTTTTATTTAATTTTAATTCAGAGGGGGTATAATGTTAAAAAAAAAAAAAACTAACATTGATATAACATGCAAAAAGAAAAAATTTAAGAAGAAAAAAGAATAGAAAATTGAGATATATTTGAAAGAAATAGAAAATTGAGATATATTTGAAAAGGTAAATTTGACTTTTTTTTAAAAGAAATTTAAGGAATTTAAAGAACAAAAGAAAGAAAAAAGAGGAGAACTTTACTTGATTTAGATTTAGGTTACTTGATTTAGGTTTAGGTTATAATATATATATATATATATATATTATAAATCAGGACCGGACCGAAAAATTAATGTTCCACAATTTTGGACCCAGGACTGAACCAAACCGCTTTATAATTAGTTCAAATCGTCCAATTTAGTTCGATCGATTTTTCAATTTACCGGATTTTTTAAACACCCCTAATGCCATATGCTAATAGCTTATTTGTAATGGCCTGTGCCCTTATTCCTTTTGACCCAAAAATTGATGTGTACATTCTTTTCATTTACACAATTATATTTAATTTCGTAATAAAAAATGAATTACTGACTGGCCTTCAAAAACTATAATTAGTTTTCTCTAATTTTATGATCAAACGTAGTGTTCATTCAAATCTTTTAAGGAACAACGTTTATCTTTTGGTTATTTATAATAATAAAAAAAGACAATACAAGGAAGTTAAAAAAATAATATTAATAATAATAATAAAAGATAAGCAAAAATGTAAATCATAACTTCAATCGTATAATTTTTTTTTTTTTTGGGTTCCTCGCTCTCTCTCCCAACAAACAAGATGATCATGAATCTCTCACCGACACTTGCCCATAAAAATAAAAAATAAAAAACATCTCATGGAGACTAAAGTGATGATTTTTCTTCTCCTTCGTCAAACTGCATGGTGCTCTTTCTCTCTCTCTCTTCAACTTCGGAACGATCTTTCTATTTTCTTTTTTGGCTCAGTTGAAATCACCTTTCTCATTTGATGAACACTTTCGATTTTTTTATCATTACTTTTTTTGTTTTATAACCTTTTCGTCATTTTCAATGCATAAAGTCAAAATTATCACTAGTATATAAATTAAAAAACCAACCAAAATTTAATAGGGTTGTCTTCCTCCTTTAGCCAAAATAGCCATTAGAAACCACACCATCTTCTTCATCAACATAATAAGGACTGATTATTCAGCACATCAAAATATTTCATAGGAGGCCCCTTATTCAACCATTTGAAGCAAGAATCAAGATCCCTGAGATGTCATGAGTCATGACCCTAGCTAGGGATAAATAACTATATACTACTATCATTTTATCAAACACTAAATTGTGTAGGTTGATAAGAAGAGTACTCAATCAGATATCGGAATTAGTAATCTTCTGTCATCAATTAGCTCGCAAGAGAAACCAAAGAACAAATATTAGGTTATATATAGGATGCAAATTAAGAGCAATTAGCATATAAATAAACATCTAGATTCAGAAAATACCTAAGGCTATGTGAAATCTACAAGAAAAAATAAATAAGTAAATAAATAATAAATTAAATTAAATTAAATTAAATTGAAGATAATATAACACAAGAACATGCGAATGTCAATCCAAATAACGAGTTTATACAATCGCAGACATCCATAAAAATGTGAATGTAACACGTTGTCTCAAGACACTACAATAGCTTATAAGCATAACAACCATGTTAAATATGTATATATACACGTGTTTGTGTGAACATTTGAGTATGCGTTGCAATCTCAAAGGTATTACACAAATTAATGTTCAACGCATGTAGAACTCCTGGCTTACATTTAGATTGCTCATTTAAGTTAAAACCAACCAATGTAGAACAGTTGAAAGGGTTGTTTCGGTTACATATCATATGGGATTTTAACAAATAATTTAAACACAATATCAGAAAATTTCACTTTTATTCAATTTCCCCATTCATGGGCCTTTTAGCTAAATTTAAATTGGCACAATACAAAACCACTACCACTACCACTACCCGTTGATTTTCTAACTTTATTTTGCAAAAAAAGAATGTGCAATTAAAATTATTTTACTTTATGTCTTGTTTTTTTTCTAGTTGGTACTCGATCACACACACACTTGTCTCTTTTAAGACTTGAACCACTAATCTCCCTTTAATAAGTAAAAGATTGATACCGCTAGGTTAGTGACACGTTGGTATTATTTTACATAGATCATAAGTGATGCATAAAAAAATTGTACAATCTATTTGTTGTCAAGAAATATTATATCTTACTTAGATGCTCCAATCACTGATATGAAAGTTTATAAAAGAATAATTAATTACCTTCTGTCATCGATCAGCTCAAAAGAGACACACGAGGACTAATATAACATTGCATATAGAATGCAAAGCAATTAGCATGCATGTATAGTTACATTATTGTGGAGCTTTAATAAACATACATGGGATAACTAATATAAGATTGTAGAGGTGAGCAAGGGTAAAATGAATTCGGCAAAAAAAAAAAAAAACAAAGTTGAAGATAATGAACTATATTGTCAATAATTAGAAAAAATAAACAAACATAAAATTATAAGAAAATGAAAAACAGAATGAGCACATATATATTTGTGGGCTGATACATCATACCATAGATTTGCTAGTGTAAATTAGCATAACCAAAAGATGCAAGGTCTTGCCTCAATTTTCTTCATTGCTGAGCTGAAGGGACAATCCAGGGAGAAGGCAACGCAATGCCCAAGTCATAATAATAAATTGGAGTGACTCTCTTATCTTCAAAGTTGAAGATACCCAAATCATGAGAGTTTTTCAAGAAATGAGCATCAGGAGAAGTGAAGTAAATACAATTCATGGGCAACCCAGGGAAGTCAATGGGAGAGACAGAGATGGCATCATTCATACCAATGAATAATGCCCTGTCGTGGCCTAAGCTTGGCAAGAGTAACCATTCCTTATTAACAAAGTCTAGCTTATACACCTCAAATGATAAGGTCTTCTTGTAACGATGGTATGTATAGTACCTAACAACCATCAGTAATTCCCCTGAAGAGTCCACTAGATAACGATCGAGCTCCGTTGGGTCGCCGAATGGCGGAATATGATTAGAAATGATGACAGTCTTCTTTGGAGAGTCTGGATTGCGGAGATCCCAAGCTTCTATAGATCTAGATGTTTCAATGTAGGCATAAAAGTTTTGGTCCATGCCGAAATAGATGAGATCTGTGTACATTTCGTCTGTTGCATCTAAGGCAGTCCATGCGGTGTCCCCAATCCTGCAAAAGGCGGGTTTGCGTGTGTCGTCGTAGCCTTGGATGACCATCACAGTGCACTGATGGGCAGAACAATCATCCACATCGTGATGATGGAGTTGATGATTGGGAGGGAATGGGGATGGATACGAGGATAAAACAATCTTATTAAAGAAAGTAACTTCAGAACATAATTCTTGAGATGATACAGGATGGTACCGTTTCCAAGCATGGTACTCAGTAATACAATTATACTTAGATGACGAAGAAGGTGTGGAAGAAGAGGAGGAGGTTTGAATATTGGACAAATCGGGGTAGCGCATAGTTGAGATGATATCAGGAAGGGTTTGGATGGGAGGAAGGGGGAGGTAGGGGAGATGAGAGTGGACGAAAGGGTTGAAAAGGTAGAGAGAGCAATTGCGGGGGTGGATAAAGGCGAGCCAGCCACGAGAAGAACCGAAGCAGATGGCCTCGTCAGGGGGAAGTATGTCCCTTTGCCATGGAAGCATAAGCCTAGGGTTCCTCTTTATCTTCACCACTTTCTTCTCCCTAAGGCTAAAGAAACGGTAGTAATCTTTTTCATCCTCCATTTTTACGAGCTTGTAGTAAGACTTATTTTCTCCATCGACTTCAGCAACCAAACCCGTGCCAGAAGGTAGCATCAGGCATGGTGCTGATCGAAGAGGGAGGAGTCCTCATGCCTCCTCCTCATCAACTACTACTACTACATCTTCTGTTGTTTTTGCTTCAGCAACAGAAGAAGAAGAAAAACAACGTTGGATTGACGAAAAGGTCGAACCTGTTTTCAAGACTCCCACTGATCTGCCTCCAAGACCACGAAGAAAATACTCCGTTGATGATCTGACTGGAGAGAGCCGCCGCCGCCGCCACATGTGGAGTGGTGAAATCCGGCCGTATCCGAACAATTCCACCGTGTTTGTAGAGTTGACTTTTGGCAAGACAGCATCCGACCCCCAAAACCCCTCCAAATACCCATCTCTGCATGTGACTATTCTGGAACCCTAATTTATACTTAGGAGAAATTTAAACCTAATCCTACTTTTGCATCTTTCGAGTGGATGGCTATTTGTCTGGCAAGAACGGGTACCCGCCCCGTTTATAACGGTTTTGGAGGACCGAAATAGAAAAAATTCTGGAGCCAAATGGGACGAGAAAACAATGAAACATGGTAATACCAATTTTCTTTTAATGTCCCTTTTCTGCAATCCTCCAAGTTGTTGTTATTATAGTTTGATGATAATTACAAATAACCTAAAGATTGGACTCAACCGATACCATAAATAGTTCAACGATGAAGCATGCCAAAATTTATATCAAACAAAATTCTCGTTCCATCATACAAAAGAGTCTAGGCATCCAACGATAATGCAAACAAAAAAATGGTACCAGAAAACAGATTCCAAACCGCCTTTTTAGTAGTGACAGGAAGGCATACATACACTTTGAGGCAGCAATATTTAGTAACTAACTCATATCATCGGTAGTACTACACAACTAGATAAACTTGTTAATCTTCATGGTGATCAGGCTCAGATCGAGTTTAAAGTGTAGCATATATGTTCTGATAACACTTGGACAAAAGCACAAAAACCATTAGAATCCCTAACAGTTATTACCATATCTTAATGATTATACCTTATCCTCCACTGATCCCAATGATACCATACCCTGCAAAACAAACAAAATATAAGTACACAAATAATAATGATTGTTCATCCAAATAAAAATTGTTCAAAATTAATCTATCAAAAATGAATTGTTCAAATTCAATCACGTACGCATGAGCACAAAAATAGGTATGTTCATTGCGATCAGCTGGCTTCTCGAAACCATTTCCACAATAACAACAAAAGTACTCTGAATAGTGGTGCCTAGCTTTCGAACCACCTGGTTTAAAGTTATGGTCCTTGTAATGGTTTTTCACATTAGCTGAAGAACCAAAGCTTCTCCTTACCACATAGTAGCGAAGCGAACAGAGGATACACTCAAATTTTGGGCGGGGAGGGGGCGGCAACCTGCCTGAGGACATGTTTCTTTTGCCGAGGTTCTCAAGCAGGGAGGATATCCCATTCTGAAAATACATAGATTTAGTTAGACTAAGTCCTCACAAAAATGTTGAAAATATGTAGACTAATAATACAAATGAAAAATTTTATCATTGAATGATATACAAGTAAAACACAGCGTGAACTCCCAGAAAGAATAGAAAACTAGAGTATTTATCCAAGTTGTGAACTCAAACGTGACTAAGTTCCACCATTAGCTCACTCTATGCATGACTGGGTTGCTCAGAACAAGGAAAGTGAATAACAGCAGCTGGAAAATATATTCCTACTCTATGAATTTACCATTGACACTTGTCCAGTTCATTTGAACTAAATGTACCTTCAAATGGAATAGAGCAACAATAAATTTATTGTTGAAAATAAACAAATCAAGGTCCTCAACTTCTCTCCCTTTGGGCAGCTGAGAAAACAAATTAAATAAATAAATAAAACTATTTAGGGGTTAAAAGCCCAATGTTTTATTGAATCCGTAAAATTAAAAATAAAGACTTTGTAGTGTACCCATTGGAGGATACCAACTCCTCCGCATGTGAGGGACTGCAAAGTCCTTCTCAGCTCCTTGTCCTCAAAGCCAGTAGAATCTTTAATATCTTGGAAGCTAAGCTTTTTAGCATCCGTAAACAGCATCAATACAACAGCCTGGAGGAGTCAACCAAACTAATATATTAGGAGTTTCAAGTCTTCACATGGCATATCAAAACAAAACAGTAAAACTAACGAACAGTATATACATATGTGCCCAAGTAACACCAACCTGGACAACAGAAGCAGGAAGCTGCTTTTCAACTCTCGGAAATTCTGCTTTCAGCACACAATGACCAAATGAATGTTTTCACATTAATGGCATTCCAATGTTCTTACTCAAGTAGTATTGGTTGAGAAGCAGCATCAAGTAATCAGATGGTTGCAAGAGTGCAATGCAACCATTCTTCAGCTTGTGCCAAACCTGATACACATTAAGTTCATGGGGAAGCCGAACATTCATGCAACCTGTAACGCGGGCGTTACACAACCCAACCTGCGATATATAAAGTTTAAAACCTTCTAAAAACTTCGTCACAAGGAATATAATCACGTAATCTTGAAGAACAGAACATAATTATACTGGATCCAAAACCTACCCTGTTGTTAAGACATGGACACTTATCTCAATTCCTGATGGGAGTTTTGCCCTTGCTTGGGATGATTTCTCTTAAGAATTGTTGATTTCTCTCATTAATTCAATGTCCTGTAGAAGTATATAAAATATTAAGAAAAAATAATGCAATGTCATTACATGAACTTACTGAACTCCTACAAATAGTCATGAATCCATGATATAGTATTCAAGAGTGAATAGCCTTTCATTTAAGGCAGTACTTTCTTAATTTTGATTATACAATATCAAATGTTTGCTAAAATAGCATTGGTTCCTTATCCAGGCTAAACTAACACAAAACGAAAACATCAATTTGGACCAAAGTTTCAACACCTTATCCCAACATCAATGTGCCTTTGAGTATCTATGCGGTTATCAATTTTCTCCAATCAGCTATGAGTGGTCGGCCCTATAGATTAATTTTCTCCAATCAGCTCTTGCAAAGCCATAAGCCTCAGCTAAAGCAGGTTAGTCATGTCCTATCTTGCGTACAGCCAGCCCAAGTTCTTACAAATGTTCCTGTTGTTATCTAGCATCTTCAACTAATCCAATCAATGAAAACCATTCAATTTGTCTAATTCTAAAATCTAAATCCTTCAACAGACATTAAAGCCAATGAAGGACCATTCATTTATGCAAGGAACTTGTATGGCATGGTAAGAGTCGATTTTATTGTTACGTTACATTCATCCACATTGCTACCTATATAAACCTGAATAAAACCAAGACTTCATAAAGAGTCAATTTCAAGTGACATACCTGTTGGATATATGCATCCTTGATGATGTTGGAGAAAGCTACATTCTTAGAAATCATTTCCTCCAAGAGGCAGGAAACCATTTCTTTTTCTTTTTCTTCATCCATGACAATGCACTGTGTGATACCCCCGGATTCCCGAATGCGGGTTGGCCAGGCCCACGCCCGAATACCCGAGGATATAAAAAACAAATCGGCAATAAACAAACACAAAGTACAAAAGAATAAGTAAAATATTGACAAGAAACTATAATGATAATTTAATAATAAACCTCAGAATATATTTCCATTAATTACTAAACTCTTCTGATACAACTGATCCTCCAAAATACAACTCGGGAATCCATACTGTGTGGACCCCTAGAAAATCCAAACTAAACAAATGACAGCAATAACTGTCTAAATCAGGAAACTAAATCATAAAGAAACTCCTATGTAGCATCGGAAGAATGAAGTAGACTGATCCTCGCTCAGCACGAACAACCTCTACTCCTGACGAACACCTGAAAAATAATGGTGGGTCAGGCCCACAAACAAGTTCTACTCTACTACAGTCCAAGCAGAGATTCGATACACGTATACATCCTAGTCAATCCAACAGTAACTAGTAGTCCGTATATATATATACACACACACTAAAGGAACCTCACTAGACTATAGGGTTATCTCAACCTGAATAGTAGGCAACATGCAAAACGCACATATAATGGGCATGAGTACCTAGATCTACCAGGGTACACAACTACACTATATCTAGCTACACATCCCTGGCGATATACGCGCCATAACCACTGATCCTGAGACTCAAGCTCATATCATGGCACCATACTTATATATATATAAAATCTAGTAACCATCCTATCCAGTATAAATTAATCCTCCATAAGTCATTCAACTTGTTCAGCTGACCTGACTTGAATATAAGTAGGACTTAACATTTTAGTTAATCCATTCCCTTATATAATAAATTAATCCTCCATAAGTCATTCAACTTATTCAGCTGACCTGACTTGAATATAAGTAGGACTTAACATTTTAGTTAATCCATTCCCTTATATAAGATAGGTAGGACTTAACTGATAAGTTAATCCGTCCTTGGAATGCCACCGTCCCATACCGGTGCATTAAACCACACAATCTAACAATTGATGTAACGATTAAGGAAATACATCAAACAATCCAGAAATAACTATGATAATATGATATCAAGTTATCATAAAATAGGAATGACTTATTATTTATTTAAGCTTGCTATATCATATGTCCCACACAAATTGAATCTTATACATGATGATATTTTATTATACCGTCAAATAAGCATTCTCCATATCCAATTTATCCTACACATTTAATTTTAATTTTTAAAACATTTTAAAAGATTAAATCCGTTCGTTTGTTTAAAACATTTAAATAGCAAGCATCATTATGATTGAGTCTATTTAAATTTATTTAAACCCAAACCTAGTTCCTATTTAATGTTCAGGAATCCTAGGCATGTTTCTACGTTCCATCATTCCACAGATATGAAAAATATATAATTTAAACATGTAAAAATTCACACCGGAAATCAAATCAAAATCATGCATTTATCAATTCATAACACAAGAACAGATTTGAACAAAATTCATAAAACTTATATTCTAATCCAATTAAACATGCATAATTATTTAATTTTATGTGT